GGGACTAGGTGCGTTTCTCTAAGTCTTCCTACCAATATGACCACGTTGCGAAAACAAAGTCAAACAACTTCTATACAACGAAAGGAGACTGCGTTCACACAAAAGGCCACACCATCTTGGTCTCCACATCAGTGATTTTGATGTTTAGCAGCAGCCAATTGACAAGCGGGTAGCAAAAAATGGGGAGGCGGAGGTAGAATGTAGCTCAGGAGCCCTGCAAACGGCATCTGGTACCTGTGGTGAAAAATGCTTACGCTTTACTAAACCAACTTGTAGCAACACACTCTTAGGCATACTTAAAGGAAACGAGAGCACAACATTGTGTGAATTAGTCGATGTACCATATGAAGTGGGGTTGAGAGAAAGAGATTCGGCACTAGAAGCTAGAACAAAAAATAGGAGAGAGGAGTGATGCCATATCGGTTGAACAGAAAATTGGTCAACGGGACTGCCTTCACTTCTCAATTTGCTTACGATTGCGCATCTCACTGACGTTGCCGGCGAAACGTTTAGGAATGTATCCACCCAATACTTGAAATCACGAATATTGTGGTAGAGGACACGGGACTAAGTACATTCCACAAGGTCTTTCTGACGCTCCGACCAAGTTGCGAAAACAAGGTCGAACAAACACGAGAAAGATTAGATCCCTTTTGCTTTAAAGAGTTGGATCGACCTTGTTTTCCTAACTTGGTCGGAGCGTTAGGGAGACGAGAAAGTTTAATCTCTAACTTATTCGTTTGTTGGCAAATAAGTGCAAATAAGAGTATATTTAAATCAACATATAGGTAAACATATAGAAAATAAAGAATCGATGTAGCTCAGTAATGATTTGCGTTTTGCTTACAGTAATACGACAAGAGAAGAATTAGTAGGATATTCGTTTTGGTAATAGTTTTCATATACAATAAATGCAATTCAAGTTTAAAATCCATCACCTCGACTAAGTGTAACTTCACTATTACTTGATGGGAGTGCTGTCTTTCCCTTAGTCTATCAATTAGCATATAGCAGCAGCTACGACCGTTTTGGTTATTTGAAATTATCACCAGTCATTTTGTCTTAATAGCGCTGTGCAGGGATGTAGGAAAAAACATCAACAAATCATTTTGTATCTCTGTCAAATTCGGTTTTTTTTAGTATGCATTTCACGCAATAGTTGATGCTTATTTCACCCATTCCTATTTTACTGTCCAGAAAATGTCACTGAATTTTATCAGTTATTCATAGTTTACGTAGCCGGTATGCAGCTAACGAGACTGGAACAAGGCAAAGATTGTGAAACGGTCTAATTGCAATAATCTGATTATCAAACATTTAAACTAAATAGATGCAGCATGAGCCTAAGGAAGCTTCAATAAAAATTAATTTTGTGATGAAAAGCTGAGCTTCGGAGTGTCAAAACCTTTCTTGTCTTAGCGCCTGGTGAAAGTTCGTAAAGAAAGGTTTAATGTTCCAATAAAGTAGATTCTCATGAGGCAAACTTACGGATACCTTCCAACAATATCTAAAAACTAAATGAAAGATGCGACAAGATCAAAATATGAATTTTGCTTGATCGTCCCTTTCTTGATAATCAGCCTTGGTGTAGCCTAACCATTATATTACATTTTACTCACCTGCTCAGTTTGCGGACGTGCAGGTATATCAGGCTTATTTGGCGTGGGGGCGGCATTGCCAGGCCGACGGCTCAGGTTTTCGCTCAACTGTTTCCCTTGCCTATACCATTCAGCCAGTCTCTGATCAAGGCCAGCCAAACGATTCTTGGTTGATTGCCAACGAGATACCAGCAGCTGTTTTGGCATCGAGATTCAAAGGAAATTTTTTGAAGAACAAAAATTAGGTAATAGAAGGCAGGAGAGAATGGGTAAAAAAATGTAATTGAAGGAAGCCTAGGAGGAAATAAAGTGGCTTCTCTTTCATGCATGTATCATGCACATGGGCGTAGGATGTGGAGGGGAAGAAATAAATTAATGAACAGAAAGAAGAGTCTTAAAAATGAAACAGAATGGGAAAATTCGAGATTGTTCAGAATTGGATGAAGCAATGCTTGTAGTTGAAAATGATATAAAGCAAATGAGTAGAGTAAAAGCCTACTTATAAACGAAAAATACAGCACCCATACAAGATGTACTGTTACTCTCGAAACCTACTAACTATCAAGATAAGTAAGTTAGTCGATTGTAATGACAAAATACAAGTTTACCTAATCGATGGTTCCAATTTAAATGTGATGTGTGAGAGGCCTGACTCGCTTTGAAAGTCAAGTGTATCCTGCGTCCCATTTGCTCCGTGACATTCTGTCGTAGTTGTAACAATACACCAAGGGCTAGTTCTCGTTTGGGGTGGGGATGAGAATGAGGAGAGACCGACAAAGGAGTACCCTTTGGGAAGCAAGTCTAAATGAAATTAAGTGGCCTCTTGGGGCCAACCATCACACTTTTTTCTCAATTTCTACTAATAGTCTCTAAATAAATTATCACTAAAAAATCAGTGTAAAGAGCATGCGCATGAGAAAGAGAGAAAGGATGAGTGAAATTTAGAGTTTGAAAGCCAAGGCAAGATGAAGAAAAAATAGAAAGAAAACTACAAGTTTCACTGATACGATCAATGTCTTTGCTTAGCATAATTTGTTAGATAATTTACCTGTTTTAATTGTATTATAGGTTTTGAAGTGAAAATATTTTATAAACGAAGTGTTGTGTTTAACTATTGGTCGTGTAGCGTTGAGGGAGCTTTTCGGTGATCGAGTTATGTTTTATCATGACGAAGCAGCGATTTTGACTACCTGTTAATGTGTATTGAGGTTTTGAATTCACCTGCCATTGGAAGAAACCCAACAAACTACCACTTGACTTCGCATGAAAACAAAGTCGTGTGGCTAACGAGCATTAAATGTCTTGAGTAAGAAGTTAGTAACCATAGCTCATTTAAGTTAATTTAGTGATCGTTAGCTAAGTTTTCCAATAATGATATGAATATGTCTCAAAACGTTATTTATGTTAACTTAACCCTGCCTCCTAAGAGGTCTTTTCATCCAGGCTGGATAGCAGTTGCTTTGGCAACCCCAATGGGAATAGAGACTACATCAAGTGACGACACGCTACATCATGTTC